ACCAGTGTTGTTAAGGAAAGTGTATAGACTTTATTATCATAAAAACAAAAAGTTTTTTGAGAATGTCTGTTTTTTGGATTGGCAAAAGGATCAGCGGAAAGAGTGTCATATTTATACTATTGCTTTTTGTAATTAGTATTTATACATATATACTATATTATAATGCTACAGTACTATATTATTGATAAATTTTAGTTACATCAAAATTATTTCAAATATTGGCATTAGCTATTAGTTTAATTACTAGTTTGAGCTAGTGCTAAGAGGTTGATGGAATATCTTATTTATCCTAATGGATTCATTCCAGTATAGAAATAATATTTCTTTTTTTTATAATCTCATAAATTATAGAAATAGAAAATATCAAGTATTAGGAATAAAGAGTATAGAGGGGATCTTCACCAAACTTGAACTGATCGTTATAATGTTTTCCTGATAATTGTATTATTATTAACACCTTTTTTTGGAGATTATAATTCCAATATCTACTGGATTAGCATGAGAATGACTTCTTATAGAAAATAATGCTTGACTAGTTATGGCAATAAAGACTCAAATTGGTTGATTCAATTTTGTCTTTTCTTGAAATTGAACTTGATATCTTGTAATCTGACCTGTAAAGTGTTAATTATTACACTATAGATTCATTGGTCTTTTTAAAGAAAGAGAGTTTTTGATTCAATTCAGTTGTATAATAATAGTCAGACAATTGACACTTATCACTTTCACATTTAACCACTAGTATTAAGATTACTTACTAATATTATTAATAAGTACTTATGAGATTTCAAATCTCCAATAAGATTTGTAGTACTATGATACTTTGATGATTGATTTATGATAGTACTATAATCACTCCTGAAATATATCTATAGGAAATTTTGCTATCATCGGGATTTGAACTTGTAATCTTAGTATAGAAGTATTAAGTATTTATCAGTATACTATAGTTTCATTGAAACTGGAAAAATATTTTTTATAATAAATAAATAATTGTTTATTTATTTGATATAAAATTTTTAAAAAATAAAATATTAAGTTTTTTAAATATTTTATTAATAAATTTATTTTCAATATAATTTTTTAATTAAATAGGTCTATCTTAAGTAAATATTTTTACTAGAGATAGGTAGATAAGCTAATGTTCTGATCTATAAATATAAACATATGATTTTTTCCATCAATTAAATATTTACAGCAACTTTCTTAAGTGTGTCAATAAATTTTTAGAAATTTTTGAAGAATTTTGTTTATTTTAATTTAATTTTAAATTTTTATTGTATCAGAATCTTTAGTTAATAATTGGTTATAATTTTGAATTGACTAATTAATATATAACAAAAAAATAAATAAAATATGTACTTCTCATATGTTTTTGTTATACAATATAATAAAATAATATAATTAAAGAAAGCAAAAAAGCAAAATATTATAGTATTCTTTTGAATAAAAATAATTTGATATTTTTTTTCTTTTTTTTCTTGAACTGGTTTTTTTTCAAAAGAAGTCTTATTTCAATCCAGTAATAAACTTTTTTTATTAATGATTCTCTTGAGAAAGTATTAAACATTTAAATTATAAAACTTTATAATCAATAATTTCTACTATAAGTCTTATTATAAATACTTTAAATATTCTAGATTAGATAAAAAAGTAAAAATTAAACAGTTTGTCCAGTTGTAAGTAGTAGTAAAGAATTTATTCTAATGGACCAAAGTTGAAATCAAAGGATTTTTATTTATCAAAACAAAATTTTCATCTATTTTTTTTTCATCTTTTTTATTTTTTTAAAAAACAAAAAAATTTTTTTATCTTTTAAGATTACAGATTTGTATTGAAATAACAGTTTGAATATAGGTTAGCTATAATTTTTCTCAAGATTAAAAAACAGTTTTGAAAAAGAGCAACTTTATTATTCTTTACAATTATATTTAGAAAATTAAGATTTAAAAAGTCTAAAATAATTAATATCATGTAATAATAGCTTAATAAATTAACTTTCTTGTAGTGAAATAGTTAGCAAATAGTTAAATTATATGGGTGACATGATAGTCTTGATATTAAGAATTCAAGAATTATATACAAATCTAAAAATAACTTATTAATGGGTGTTTTGCAATACATATAGTTTAGCTCTAGTATAAAGCCTTAAGGTTTAATATATTATTGTTTTATTTTATTTAAAAATTAATAAACATAACAAATTGTAGTTTGATTAGAGACAAAAAAAAAATTTTTTTTTAACTAAAACAATTTTAATTAAAGTTTTTTTTTTATAAATTGTAGTAAAAAATTATTTTATTTTATTTTATAAAAAATTTTCAAAAAATTTTAAATTTTGATTTTAATATAAATTTTAATAAACTTCATTGATTAAAAGATTAATTAAGCAACTTAAAATTTAATAAAAGTATTTTTAAATTATTTTTGTTTTTATTTTACAAATAGATAAATTAAAATTATTGTAAATAAATAAATAAATTATTTATTTATTATAATTTAATTAAACGAAAAATTTATTTTGATATCCAATTAATTTTAATAAAATTTAATAATATATTAATAAAAATATATTAAGTACTGTAAATATTCTTATTAATATACATTTAAATCTTGTTTGGTTTTATTGATTACTTATTGAATTACAAATTTGTCCAAAGATTTTTTAAGCAACTATACGTTAAATCAGTATAACTATGACCTTTTTTTTTTTCTTTTTTACGGATATTTTTTCGATAATATTTAATAGAACTTTATATAGCCATATTTATGGAAAAAGAAACGGGCGTAAATGTTACAGTTTTTTACTAGTAACTCGATTGTTACCATATTTACAAAAGATTCGTTGTGAAAATTACCAAAATTTTGTACTCAATAAATGGTCGGATATGGGTAATGACACATTGATCTCTAGATCATCCGAGTTATGTGTACATGGTTACAATTTCGGTTTTTACCAGCATCTGATTTCTAATATCTACGATATAAAACAGTTGTTTATTCAGAAGAATACACAAACAAAACGAAGGTTCAGTGATAGCATCTAAAAAATTGAGCGGATCCAAGATGTTTTGCTGACCTCAATGCTATTAATGGTGCTCGCAATATTCCCTTTGATACTAAGAGTTGATTAATATTAATTTAGTAATGTGGAGTTTTATTAGTAATGATAGGGTCTAATTTAATTTTTGATAATATAGATGCGTCGTATAAGAAATAACAATGCCAATCACGTTATTCCATATGATGCAAAAAAACCCAAATAATCCAAATTAAGAAATCGGTTAACCAACGTTTTTTTTTTTAAAAAAAAAAAAAAAAAAAAATCAATAACATTATCTCTGTCATTTCGCAAATGCATAAATACTGAAAAATACTAAAAAATGCATTTGTCGGCGTTTAATACCGCTTCCTCTAAAAGTGTAACCTCGTCTTTTCTTCCTTCGGGAAGAAGTTTACATACAATTAACACAAGTGACCGCAAGGCAGATGTTATTAACCCTCTAGCAGAGAAATCAGTCTCTCCTTTAACGTCAACCGCAATACCCACACCAACCACTCCGAAGCATGAATTTACCGGTAGTCAAATTTTTCTTCATAAAAGTCAGAAATTATTAGGGCTTCTAAATGATACCAAAAACATATTGGGAAGCTACCGGGAAATAAACAAAGAAAAATGGCACATTCAATACCCATTCGTCAAACCTCAAACTTTAGTCGGGAAACAATTTTTTTCGAAAGACGATAATGTCACAAAGTCCTTTGTTGGTAATAAAATGAAGAAGGCTTTGTCTTACGCTGAAACGTCAAATAAATTTCGTGAGCAAATCAACACGAAATTGTATGCTTCTCAACCCGACATGTCGACCTCACAAGAAATTAATACCACACTTAATGTTTTGAATTTGGATTTAAAGAAAGGAGATAGGTCATCGGCAGAAAACGTGGTGGGAAAATTGGACAAGGGATCAGTCGCTACCCTATTGGATGAAAGATTAATTCATAGCGTTAAGAGGATTGAAAATCTCGCTTCACGAGTGGCTGACACAAGTTCCAAAGTTCTAATTGCTGGTGACGTTAACGCAGGGAAAAGTACATTCGTTAACACTCTTCTCCGTCGCGAAATAATGCCGGTGGATCAACAACCATGCACGACTATCTTCTGTGAAGTTCGGGATGTACAAGAAAACTCTGATAAGGAAGAAGTTCATGCCATCAGGAATATCGAGAAATATAATCGCGAGGATGTATCCACTTATACGGCTATTGGCTTTGAAAATCTCTTTGATATAATTAGCAGTGGTACAGAAGAATACACTCAACTAAAGGCATGTTATCTATTGATTTCGTCTCTTTATATTTTTTACAATTGAAATGACCAGCTAAATTGCCATCTTAAATACCCAGGTTTACTGTAAAGATAAACGAAATGTTCAGCAGAGCCTTTTGCATAATGGAATTGTTGACATTGCGTTAATTGATTGTCCAGGGTTGAATCGCGATACTCTCAAGACTACTGCTTTGTTCGCTCGACAAGAAGAGATAGACGTTATTGTCTTTGTCGTAAGCGCCGAGAATCATTTTACTTTATCCGCCAAAGAGTTCTTATCGAATGCATCTAGTGAAAAAGCGTATATATTCATTGTCGTAAATCGCTTTGACAATATCAGAAACAAAGAAAAATGCAAACGCTTAGTATTAGATCAAATTAAGGAAGTTTCGCCACGTACGTACGAGCATGCTGATGACTTGGTACATTTCGTGACCTCAACAGCCATTCCAAATGAAGGTGACGACGATCTTACTTCACTATCTCCCATCGAGAAGAAAAGAATGGAAGATTTTAATCACCTTGAAGAGTCATTACGAACCTTCATTCTCAAAAAACGTTCCAAGTCTAAACTAGATCCTGCCCAGCATTATCTTGATAATCTCATAATTGATATCGGAGTTTTGGCCGAATTCAATCGATTCATTGCATCAGTCGACGTTGAAAAAACTTCAAGAGAACTTCACGATGGAGAAAAGGCCTTTGAAATTCTATGCAACGATGAAAAACACGTTGGCGAAAAAGCGGAAAAATGTATTGAAGATGCATGCGATAATATTGCTGATTTCACTAAAAAGAAATTGGTGCAAGCTATTTCCGACATT